GGGGACGAATTCCAACGGAATTCACTGAACGCACAAGCTCTGGGAGAGGGGGGACGGGGAATTTTCCACGGAATTCACTGAACGCACAAGAGGGGGGGGGAATTCTTCACTGAACGCACAAGCTCTGGAGGGGGGGACGAGAGGGGGGGGGGGACGAATTCCAACGCACAAGCTCTGGAGAGGGGGCGGGCGAATTCCAACGGAATTCACTGAACGCACAAGCCCCCCCGCCTCCCACACATACCCACTTCCCTCTCTCCGAGAGGCATCTTCTTCTCTCCCCCCCCGACAGCCCCCCCACACAAAAAATATACCCCACCCTTCCAGGACAGACCCCCCCCTCCAAAAAAGACCCCTCCCCCCTCTTCCGACATATCCCTTTCCGCTCTTCCGCTTTCTCTCCTACAGACCCCCCCTCCCCGCTCTCACAACCCCCCCCCCACGCTCCGACAACCCCCCCCCCTCCAGGACAGACCTCACCTCTCCGAGAATTTTTTCTTTTTCCGACAGAGCCTCTCTCCTCGCCATTCAGGCCCAGGAGGGAGGAGAGGGGGAGGGGGCTGACGCCATTCAGGCCTGGGACAGGGGATGGGGGGGCTGACGCCATTCAGGCCCAGGAGGGAGGAGGGGGGGGGCTTCGCTCTGTCTGTCGGGGCGGGGGGGGGGGGGGCTGACGCCATTCAGGCCCGGGAGGGGAGGAGGGGGGAAGGGCTGGCCAGGGTGGGAGGAGGGGGAGGGGCTTCGCTCTGTCGGGGGGGGGGGGGGGGGGGGACTGACGCCATTCAGGCCCGGGAGGGAGGAGGGGGCCCCGGGGGGCTGACGCCACTCGGGCCCGGGAGGGAGGAGGGGGGGGAGGGGGGGGGAGAAGGGAGGGGGGGGAACGCCATGGGGAGGAGGGGGAGGGGAGGGAAGGGGGCTGACACCATTCCATTAAGGCCCGGAAGGGAGGAGGAGGGGGAGGCTTCGCTCTGTCGGGGGGGGGGGGCTGACGCCATGCATTCAGGCCCGGGAGGGAGGAGGGGGGGGGTGCTGACGGCATTCAGGCCCGGAAGGGAGGAAGGGGGGCTTCGCTCTGTCGGGGAGGGGGGGAGCTGACGCCATTCAGGCCCGGGAGGGAGGGGGGGGGGGGAAGGGGGGAACGCCATGGGAAGGAGAGGCGGGGGGGGGAACGCCATGGCTGACGCCATTCAGGCCCGTGAGGAGGCAGTCGGGGGAAGGCGGGGGGAGCTGACGTCATGGCTGACGCCATTCAGGCCCGGGAGGGGGATCTGGAGGGGGGGGGGCTGACGCCACGGCTGACGCCATTCAGGCCCGGAAGGCGGGAGGGGACATCCCATGAGTTTGGCTGTTCACGCGAGATCGTCACTCTCGAATATCCGACGGTTGCCCAAGCGAGTTCAACATCTCTATCGTATGAGGATGTCTCGAGCGAGTGCTCTTCTGCTAAACATTAAAGGTCCTCCGTTGCAAGCAGAATCGGTAGCGCCCCGGATCGGCGGCACTGGCCGGAGACCACCACAATACAAAGCAGACCGCGTGCGTCGAAGCAGGGGGAACCGGAAGAGCCTGCCGGCCGTGTTTCGGGCCACGGGCCGGGCCTCTGGCGGCTGTCGTTCTTCGGGCGTCTTGAAAGGCTTCAGCCGTCCCAGGGCTCTTGTGGGAGCCTCTCGGGGCCGTCTTGGCGGGGCGTCACGTGGGGAAGCGGGAGGGAAATGCACGGTCGGACCGAAGAAGGGGTCTACGGGGGTAAAGGGGGGGCACTGTCGGTCGGAATAGCTTGGGGGGGCGGGAGGGGAGCAGGGGGCCACGAAAGGGCCCTGGGAGGGGGACGGGGGAGGCACAGTCGGTCCGAATAAACGGAGGGGGGCCACGGGAGGTCGCGGGGGCACGGTCGGTCGAAATAAATGAAGGGGGGCCACGGGGGGCCGGAGGGAGGGGGCACGGTCGATCGGAGTAAAGGGAGGGAGGGCAGGGGAGGAGCGGGGGGCCATGGGAAGCACAGGGACATACTAATACCATATGTCCTCCTTGGAGGCGCGCGTCCGACCCGAACATATCATCTACCCATCTTGTAGTGCATCGTTTCCCGAGCGGTGTGGCCAGAAAGCGCCCGCCACGACGCATATACTATAAGAGTTCTCGGTGCGCGCGTCGCCCCCGAAGGGGCGACGCACACGTAGTAGAAGTATGTGGCCGGCCAGGGTCGGGCAGGGGCGGGCACGGTCGAGCAGGGGGGTGGGACACGGTCGGTCGGTCGAAACGGAGAGGGGGCCACGCGGGGAATGGGGGTGCACGGTCGGTCCGAAAAACAAAAAAAGCTGTGGCGGGGGGAGGGGAGCGGGGGGCCAAGGTCTGGCAGCGGGGGGAGCACACGGTCGGTCACGGGGGAGGGGGGGGGGGGCACGGTCGGTCGGAAGAAAAGGAAAGGAGCGGGCGGAGATGGGCGAGGGAACACGGTCGGGCAGCGGGGGGGGGGGGGGCACGGTCGGTCGGAGTAAGGAGCGGGGGGGCACGGAACGCAGGGGGGGGGAGGGCACGGTCGGTCGGAATAAAGGGAGGGTGGCGGGGGACGGGGGAAGGGGGGGCATGGTCGATCGGAATAACAAGAAGGGGCGGGGAAGAGGGCGGCGGGGGGGAAGCGGGGGGCCCTGGTCGGACATCGGGGGAGGGCACGGTCGGTCGGAATAAAAGGAGGCCGGCCACTGGGGTGGCGGGGGGGGGGGCACGATCCATCGGAATACGGAGACACGGGCGGCGGGGTGGGGGGAGCGGGGGGCCACCCACGGTTGGGCAGCGGAGGGGGGAACACGGGCGGTCGGTAGAGTGGGGAGAGGACCACGGGGGGAACGTGGGGGCGCGGCCGGTCGGAATGAGAGAGGGGGGGAGCGAGGAAGGGGGGGGGACAGGGGGCCACGATCGGGAAGCGGGGAGGGGGGGCACAGACGGTCGGAAAAAGGGGAGGGGGCACGGGGGGAAGGGGGGTGGGTGGCACGGTCGGTCAGAATCAAGGGGGGGGGGGGGGGGGGGAGTGGTAATGGGGAGGGCGGCAATGGAAGGGGAGCGGTCACGGTCGGGCATCGGGAGTGCACGGTGCACGGTCGGACGGCATAGAATACAAGGAGCAACGGGGCAAAAGGGGGGGCACGGTCGGTCGGAAGAAGGGGAGGAGGGCGGGGGGAGAAACGAGGGGGCACGGTCGTGCAGCACCGTCGGTCGGAATCCAGGGGGGGCGGGGGAACGACAGGGGAAAAGGGAGGCACGACCGGCTGGAATAGGGAGAGGGGGGCGGGGGGGGGGGGGTAGCGGGGGGGGGCACGGTCGGGCCGCGGGGAAGCGGCACGGTCGGGGGGCGGAGGGGAGCTGGGGGCCACGGTCGGGGCATCGGGGAGGGGGCACGGTCGGTGGGAAGAAAATGGAAGGGGCCACGGGGGGGGGGGCACGGTCGGTCGGAATAGTGGGACAGGGGCGGCGGGTGAGCCAACGCCTACACATCCCAGCACCCCCAGCGCACACCGACACATGCCAGCCCACATACCAGCACACCCAGGGGGATCACGGCCAGCACGTGTTTCAGAACATCACAGCATGCATCCCAGCCTCCAGCGCACACCCCCCAGCACACCGAGGCAGTACACAGACACATCCCAGCACACCCAGGCACGGTCGGTCGAAACAATGCAGTGCGAGATCACACCAGATGATATGATAGTAAGTGGGTAGTACATTGGGTTTCCGCCTGGACTCTAAAGAGGAAGGAAAAGGAACAAGCATTCGATGCTTGAAATGGGAAGGTGCCTAGCTAAAGTAGATTGAAATCTGGAATGGATTGAAATGTGTGAATCCACAAATGCCAACTTTGAGTGACCGATTGGTGACCTTCCGAGAGCCTCCGAGCGTCCAAACGCCTTCCCCCCCAGCCCGAGCGCTAGCGCGCAGCCGAGAGAGGCGTGAAGGAGTGGCCGAGGGCCGATGCCTAAGGCCTCCGCCTTGCCCCCCCCACACCCCCCACCTTCGGGCTTCGCTTCAAGAGGGGGCGATAAATTCGCCGGCCCAACGGGCCAGAGGCGCGCTAAGGTCTCGGGAAACTGGTTCACAGAGCAGATGTCTATTCTAATTCGCGCGCGCGGGGCTGCCCCTGGGGGTCACCTGACGAAAAAGTATCCTGGCCGACTTCCGGCAAAGTACTTCCAGCAAGGTCCGCTCAAGGATGCCGGAACTCCGGAGGGCGCTTTTCGGGGCTCTCCAGATCGCTCCAGGAGCGGCCCAAGGAACCTCAAGACAGATCCAACAAGGCCCACGAATCGCAGTCACGGCCCAAGAGCGGGACACGAAACACCAATGCGAGCCTTCCGCCCCAAGTTTCACCCAGGAGGCCCCAAGAGGCCCCCAAGAGAGCCCAGGATTCCCCCTGGAGGCCCCACGAGGCCGCCACGAGGCTCCAAAAGAAGCCCCCAAAGGGCCCCCAAGAGGCCACGAACGCGCAGGCGAACGCCTGCGATGGCACAATACGGGCCGGCGGAATGAGCGAAGCGAGGGTGCCCTGTTGGGCCGTTCTCGGAGCCTCTTGGGCCCCTCTGGCCTCAGGGGGGCCCCTTTCTTGGGACCTTTTCCACGTTTTTTCGGACCCTCTTGGGCCGTCTTGGACCCCTCCCACAAACTCCGCGTTCCAAAATGGTGGCGCGGCGGTGTCTGCCCACTCAGGGGCGTTCAACTAAATCAGGGGGGGAGCAGAAACGTGCACCGCTCGTGCCCCTGTTGGGCCCCTCTGGGGCAGGTCAGGTGCAACTCTCCTCCTCCCCCGTCTGAGCGACGACACGAAGCGGGTCTTACGCGAAGCGGCACGGCGACCTTACGCGAGCCGCCAGCGCGGCACGCCACGTTAGAGACGAGGGCGCTCACGCGCGACCTCACGACGCGGGCAGCTGACGCGCGAGTCCGTGAAGGCGACACCGCTTCCTTTCGTCGCTCACGTGCCGCCCCCACGTTGCGCAACGCCCGACCCTCCCCCCTCCCCCTGGCGGCGGCGCGCCGGGCTGAAAGCGAATGCACCCCGCGAGCGCGCCCGGCGGCCCGGGCGGCGGCCCACTTGGGAGGGCGCTCGGCCGGGCTCTAATTAAGCGCAGGGGGGGCTGCGCGCAAGCCCGAACGGGCACACCTCACGCCTCGTCCAGGCCGCGGCAGGGCGGGTGCGGTCGGAGACCCGCCAGCCCATGTTCCCTCCACTACGTATCCTCCCCCCCTCCCCCTTAAGGCAGGTTCGTGTTGTGACAGCTTCGGCGTTGTCTTCTGACACCGCGTGGAGCGTGGATCGTTCAACCACGCACGATCGGCAACTTTTCGATCGCCACTTCGTTCCACATTGGTCGATTCTGGGCCACTGGCGGCATCCAACACTGAACGCCCATGCTGGGGACGTCCCCGCGCCGACACGACACGAACCGACCTTCCCCCTCCCCGTCCCCTCGCCGCAGGGGCTGTCGAGCACGACGGGCTCCCTTGACCGCCCGGTGGGACTGTTTACAATTCTCTGCTTCCGAGGCTGGCCACGCGAACCGCGCGCTGGCTGTGCGCTGGGCCCTGTATTCGTTCCGACAGCCCCAGCGGGTCGACCGATCGTGTGCCGAGTCCGCCTCCGCCCTCCCTCGCCCGAGGGGCCACGATAGAGGGGGCGGTCAGGGAACATCGACCAGGAGTCAGCGACGGGTGGCCCTCCCCCGATCCCCCGATCCGATCCCCCCCTGAAAAATCCGACGTTGGAGAAATGCAACATCGCAAAAGAAGCAACGCGACCAGAGCCCTGGACACCGTCCGACGTTGCAATAAATGCAACACCGCAAAAGAAAGAACACGACATTAGCCCCAGACCCCATCCTTTGGCGGCATTTTCCCATTCGGATCGATCTGCGCGGGTCCCAGGCCCCGAAACGAGGCCAAATCGCCGGGTATGGAACAATGGCAACGCCAGGATCTCAGGGCCCTCCCTCCCCTCGCCCAACCCCCCGGTGCACTGCGCCCCTTTCGGCCGCGCGGCTCAGGCCTTCCTCCGCGCCTTGGCCTTCGCCTTGACGGCAGCCTGTTGGGCATCAGAGGGGCGCCGCCCAGAGGCCGCACGGGCCGCAAACCAGCGAGGATAGCGGGCAGCCGCCGTAGAGCCGTCGTCGTCGTCGTCGTCGTCGTCGTCGTCGTCGTCGTCGTCGTCGTCGTCGTCGTCGTCGTCGTCGTCGTCGTCGTCGTCGTCATCATCGTCCTCCTCCTCCTCCTCCTCCTTCTCCTCCTCCCTCCTCCTCCTCCTCCTCCTCCTCCTCCTCCTCCTCCTCCTCCTCCTCCTCCTCCTCCTCCTCCTCCTGCGAGCTTCGAGCTGCGGGCCTTGTCTTCAACAGTGGGCGCGGCCCTCGCGGCTCTCCCCTGGGCCGCGCCCAGAAGAGGGCAAGAACACCAAGAGGTGGAGCGAGATAGGATGACGAGCATGATGATGAAGCTCCTGAAATGCACCCAAGGGGAAGAAGGGAAGGCGATTCCTCCTCCTCCTCCTCCTCGTCCTCCTCCTCCACCTCCTCCTCCTCCTCCTCTTCCTCTCCCTCTGCTGCCAAAGATCACAGGGACCACTAGTGTCTCAGTGTCTCTGATCATGCACACGAGCAAATGCACGGGGGGATAGGGGGGGGCAAAGGAAAGAGGGGTTAGCCTCGGTGCCTGGCTGGCTTGTCCCCCTTTTTCGGTCCAGGGTGCCGTCAAGGATCCAAGGGAACCAGGAAAGCCGGCAGGGCGAGATCCAGCTTAACGCCATCGCCAGTGACATCGTGGAGGCTAGAGATATTACAGTAAATCGATGCTGCGATGTGCGCGTCCAGGCTTCTGTCAGTAGAAACCCGCACGCGTCTGGCTTCCATTGCTTCCATGTTAATAGCAAGAGCAGGCGGGACGAGATCGGCAGCCGAAGAACACGAATACTTGCAGACGATGCGACACCTGCCATAGCCTCCGACCCTCAGGAGATGATTTTTCGGGCCAAGCCCAGACGGGAGGTTCAGTAGACGATGTCTCGAACGCTTTCAGATCGAAACTCGCCCCCCTCCCCGCACGAGTGAACGCTAAGATTAGTTGGCATTGAGGAGGGATTTCCGTTGGCCTCCTGACGCCCAAGGATTGCCCCAGATTTGTATTGATGGCCTAGAATCACCTTCAGGCTTACACCAAGTGGCATCACAAATGACGACTGAGACTCTATCTGACAGAGGACGCTGTTACTACTAGTACATGCTCGTCAGGAATTCTGTCACATATGCCAATAACATGCGACGAGCATTACTGGTTACACGCACTATGTAGTTACACGGGCAATCAGGCGACGCAGTGATGTCCAGGGGGGTGTCGTCAGACTCTGTATGTTCCCTGGGGCATTCAATGCAAAAAAAACTCCACCTCATCCCCCTCCTCCTCCTCCTCCTCCTCCTCCTCCTCCTCCTCCTCCACCTCATCCTCCTCCTCGACATCTCCGACGATGCGCGAGGTGTTCCCATCTGGGCGCGTGTCTCTGGGGTCCCAGAATGGTGCGATGGCAAACCGTGCGGCGACCTCGAAACCCACAAGACCCCACCACACGGACCGTCACCGCACCATGCTTGGGGACCCTGGAGAAGCCTCGGCCACCCGCGGGACGTCCTCGAAGAGCGGCCCCCGCTGACCCCAGACCGCGTCCCCACTGACTCACCACATGCTGTGAGTACCGCTCCGCAAGAGGCCCCCCGAGATGCGCCGCCAGAACATGTGCTTATCCACTGCCGCGGGATCGTACCCCAAGGAATCGAGGAGCACTGGATATGGATATCTGGCCGGTGCACGCCAGTCGTTGAAAATCCGCGTTTTTGACCCCCAGATCCCAATCTACTTCGAAAGCGCCTTCCTTCGAGAATCGATCTGCTCTCTGGGTGGCCTGAGCCCAATCTTCTGGATCCGCTTTTGCACTTCATGTTTTAACCTACCTCTTCTGACTGGCGTGTGCTCGTCCACCGCCAGAATATAGCCAGATCCACCGCTTCGGAGTCTTTCCCTGGGATCTCGACGAGTGGTTGATAATTACGGATTTCGGCACCTTGAGCCCGTTGTCACTGCCGGGCCCACATGGCCATCAAGGATCTGCGGTGCGCAGAGGGGGGATGGGGGAGAGGGGACGGCTTCTCTCAAAGGAGGCCGCTTAATGCAAGGCGCGGGCCCTACATCTGTAGATAACCAAGGGTGTTTCTGAGAAACCTCCCCCCCTCCCCCGCACCCCCCCCTGCGCGTGGCCGAACGGGACCGTCAAGAGAGTGCTCCGGGACGCAAAACTACCCCCGGGCGAGGGGTCTCGGGACCTCTGAGGGCCGCTGGGCGGCCACCGGCCACCGCGGGGAGGGACGGATGCAGCCTCGGTCCAGGTGGCATGTTTCCTCAGGGAAGATACGGTCGGGAACCGCTGCTGGGCGTGCCGCGGCGGCGGAACACGCTGTGCCCAGCGAGCGGGTGGCGTTTCGCTCCGCTCCGCACGGCGGGAGGCCAGGAGATCCGCTGACGCGTGGACAGTGGGCACGTGATTAGCGTCTCGCGCCGCTGCATGGTGGGCGAAAGCTGGCGGCACGACACGCTGAGCAAAAAATCCCGACCCTAAAGGACATCAGCGACGAGCGCGCCGTCTTTCAATATAAGCGTGTTGTTCGTTCGCTCTTCTGTGCCCAAAAGCCTGGCACTTTACCGACAACAAAACTCTGATGGGGCTGTCCGACCGGCGTGACACTGATGCTGGTTTTGCTCGCCGACCTCTCCCGCTGTTGTAGGCCCCAATGGTTCCATGAGTTGACCGCTCGAATTATCCGGGGTAACCCAGGTCTTGGGTAGCTCTGGTTTGGGCCGCCGACGTCAAAAGCAGGGGTTACCCCTTATCACGCCCAACTCCGATAATTCGGAAAAATGGTTGAACGCCCGACGTATCCAGGATAACTCCCGTCAGGGACAACTCCGGTCTGGGCCTTCGACACGCGAACCAGGAGTTGCCCCTGACAACGCCCAGCGTCGATGATTCGGAATTGGTTGGACGCCAGAAATATTCAGGATAACTCTGCTCCTGGGTTATTTGGGATTGAACTTCGCCAAGCACGAGCCAGGATATCCGAAGTTGCTTCGGTCCGGGATTACCCTGGTTTGGGCCTCGCGAGGCACGAACCAAGAGTCGCCCTTGACCACCACTAGCCCCGATGATCCGGGAGTGTGTGGAGGCCCACACTATCTGGGATCACTCTGGTCCAGAATCACTCTGGTTGCGGCCTCGCGGAGCACGAATCGGAAGGTACCCCTGACCACCCCCAGAACCGATGATTCGGGAGCGTTTGGACGCCCAAGCTATCTAGGACAATTCCGGTCCGGGTTCACTCTCGGGCAGATCATGTCCTCCTGCAGGCGGGCTGTGAAAAAAAAAAATAATCAATAGTCAAATAATGCGTTTTCCATGGTCATCAAAACGGCATAAGCATGCGTTAAAAATTATCAAAGCATACTTTGGAACAAATGCCTGCTAGAGGACTGCCTCGTGTTCGTGACTTCCCCCCTGTGAGCGAGCGCGCGCGCGCGTGGGCGAACGGCGGCTAGAGAACACCCTCCCCGAATGGAATCTCGGACACTCACAGGAGATAGGAACGAAGGGAAAGTGGGAGAAGCGAGCCACGGCCACAAAGACTGCTCGGGCGAGTGTTGCGAATGTGAATCAATAGTGGGAAAGCAGGGACCCGAATCTGCAGGACCGATGGCGGTTTTCCCGAGGGTGCTCGTCGAAATGCAGATGCTGAGCGCAAATATATTCGCAACGCCGCCCCATCCATTCCGGCATGACAACACGCGGCCGATCCTCATAGCGCACGTTGCACAAAACACATCGTTACACAGGCAATCCTCGGATAAAACGCGATAACACGCACTGCCGCCAACAAATGCTGCGAAATACGCAATGGTTGTGCCACGCGGCGTAAGCACGTTTTCCATCGCGGTTCTTGTATGTTCGCTTGGCCAAATATCCTAAAGACACTTTCCACAGAATTGCTAAAACTGTTTTTAGCATGGCTCAAAAAAACGTCACCAGACTATTGCTGACAATTCTTGAATATTTCCTGTGGAGGCACATGCCCGACTCACGGTTCCTCTGGTCGGGCATTGGGAAACACGAGCCAGGAGCTGCCCTTTGACCACCCCCGTCCCCGATGACTCGGCTGTGGCTGGACGTCCGCGCAATCCGGGAAAACTCCGGTCCGGGGTAGCTCTGAATTGGGCCCCCGACGCACGAACCAGGGGTTGCCCCTGACCGCCCGATGACTCGGCAATGGCTGGACGCCCGAGATGTCCGGAACAGCTCTGGTCCGAGGCTACTCTGGCTTGGGCCTCGCGAGGCACGACCCGGGAGTTACCCTCGACCACCCCCAGCCCCGATAAATTGGGGAGTGGTTGGACGCCCGAGGTATCCAGAATAACTCCCGTCGAGGGCAACTCTGGCTTATGCCCCCGTGGCACGAACCAAGAACTACTCCTGATCACACCCAGTCCGGGTGGTTCGGGGTTATCAATGAGATGCAGCCTGCCTTCTCATCCTCCTCCTCCTCCTCCTCCTCCTCCTCCTCCTCCTCCTCTTCCTCCTCCTCCTCCTCATCCTCTTCCTCCTCTTCCTCCTCCTCCTCCTCATCCTCGACCTCCTCCTCCTCTGGCCCGTCACCACCAGCCCCCGAGGGGTCTCACGATTTGCGACTGCCGTCGTTCTCTAAGGCACGAGGGGCTGTACGGTGCGCGCTACAGTCGACCTTGGCCCACGCGTTCGTCTATCGCTCGAGTTGGGGCTCTCTTGCACGTCTGCACGCGCGAGCAGAGCACTGCACAAACCACGCGCAATGCCAAGAGTTTACCGTCGCTCGGACGTCCATTCCCCATGCATTCTCGATGATCCAAGAAGCTCCTCGACGGTCCTCGCCGAGTATCGAATCACGCGTCCTTGCGATGCCAAGAGTCTTTTTCCTCCTTCTCCTTCTTGGGAGCAGTCTGGATGCCGCAACCTCCAGCGCGAACGGCTGCGGCCACGCCCAAGCCCGGGGGGGTCCCTCGCACGCCCGCGCGACGGCGCGCCGCCGCAGGGGGGACCAGGGAGGGCGCGCGCACTCCTCCGCAGGGGAACGTTTGGGCGTCGCTTCGTGGGGCGGGCGATGTGCTATGGACAAGCGCGTTCCACTACTCGCAAAGTAACTACTCGCAAATGGACAGGATCCGCTGCGGCGGACTTGCCATATACTACACCGAGGCGGACCAGTTTTTCGTCGGAAGTTTTCTTTGCGAGTAGGCGTGATAAATGGGGGGGGAGAAAGGTGCCCTTCTCGTGCCCCAAATGGCCCCGTCAGGGCCCCCAAGGGGGCCCTTTTCGGCATCCCTCGCTGCCCCGCCATGTATCTCTCCCCCTCTGTTGCGCGCCCCCCAAAACGTTCGTCGGGGGAGACCAGCTCTGGGGGGACCGAACTAGAATCGACGATACATGAGGCGTTCCAGAAGGGGCCTCGCCTTCGAGGATCGAGGGAGTTGGCATCTGTTCCTCGGCGGAAGGCGGCGGAAGGTCGGCGGAAGCTGGCGAAGTAAAACGAGGGCGGCTCCTGCGGTAGGCCGGCGGAAGTGAAGGACGCGCTCCCAAAAGATGACAACATGTTTGGGTTAGGGTTTCCCGAACCCGTCACATCGCCGACAGGTCGGCGTCATACCCCCAAACGCGAAATCACGCACGCTCCTGGAGAAGGTGGGCTATCGGGAGCCATGCCCGCGGCGGATGGGCCACTATGAGGCGGTGCGACCCCCGTCCGACCGCTCCCGTTGACCTTCTTCTCCCGGGGGAAACCAATGGATACCAGTACCTCTGCTCCCTGGGCCTCTCCAGGGGTGCGTGTTGACTGTAACTTCGAGGAGAATCCAACCGTGGCGACTGGGGACCCCCAGGGGGGCCCCAAAAGGCGAAAACAATGGGCGGGCAGCGCAGCCGGAGGCCAGCACGCAGCACGCGCACAGCACCTCCGGGAAGGCTCGACGGGCCGGCTCCCAGAGGGACCCAAGGGCACCCGAACGGCGATAAGAGCCGGGGACACCTTGGGCCAGGAGCACCTTCGGCAACCCCTGAACTCCTGCTGATCCTCCTCTGCCCCCGGCTGCTTCGCTTCGCTGGTGGCCCGCGGCCCCCGGGCCCAGACGCACCCAGAGCCCCTCCCTGTGTTTGTATGCATGACATTGCTCTCGCTGTAGAGGTATGTATATGCTACCTATCCCACCTCGTCTCCCCTCCCGCCCACGCCTTCGTCTGCGTCCGCGGTCTCTGAGCTCGTCATCGTTCTCCTCATCCTCGTCATCGCCATCGCCTACCTGCAACCCCTCCTCCTCGCCCCCTCTTCTCTCTGGGAGGCGCTGGTGGGGGGGCAACGTCAGTGCTGTATCCATGACACTCCGCCGCGGGGAACCCATCAGCAGGTCACGGTTTACGAAGCACCAGGTCTTCGGTCGGACACGAGCCAACGAACACCATGCTGACGGGCTCCCCAAGGCGGCATGTATGTGCTTGTCCCAGACATCCGATGATATGTTGTTGACTTTTCCCATGCACCGCCCCAAACGTCCCAACCCATTCCCCGTGGAGGGCTTTTCGCCCCAAGTTCTCCTTCGTTGGCCCCTACGCCTGGAAAACTGGCCCGGGAGAAACAGGCCCGAATTGAAAAACGCCCCCGGTCACGGATCTGGGCCGATGCTCCTTCCGCCTCCCGAGCCGGGCGCCGCCTTGGCGTGGGCGCTGCTGCCGTTGGATCGCC